GAGCTGGTGTACTTGGTCACCGCCTTTGTACCCTCCGACACGGCGTGCTTGGCCAGCTCCCCGGGCAGCAGCAGCCGCACGGCGGTCTGGATCTCCCGGGAACTGATGGTGCTGCGCTTGTTGTAATGGGCCAGGCGGGAAGCCTCCCCCGCGATACGCTCGAAAATATCGTTGACGAACGAGTTCATGATGCTCATGGCCTTGGAGGAGATGCCGGTGTCGGGGTGAACCTGCTTCATCACTTTGTAGATGTAGATCGAGTAACTTTCTTTCCTGGACCTTCTCCTCTTCTTGCCGCTTTTCGCTGGTGCCCTCTTCACCACTTTCTTAGCGCCCTTCTTGGCAACTTGCCCTTTCTTTTCCTCTACCATTGCGACATTCAATATCCAACACAGAATAAGAGAAAGCGGGCTCAGAACTCGCTTTTTATAGCCTGATGGCGTCAGCAATGCTAATGAAGGATGGGAGAAAGCCTTGTTCCTGATTGGGTAGTTTACAAGAATGTTAAAACATGACATTAGCCTTTCTGTGATTGGTTAGTGTGGGACACAACGTGGATCTGCCAGGATCTGCAATGAAATTTCAAACGCAAATCGAAATTTTGTACACGGATCAAACTCCGAGCTTTCTCTAAATCGTGAGATCCTAATCGCGATTTAATCTATATCTTTTATAATGGTTTTCTTTTCTCCTCCGTTTAAAAATGTCATCACGTTAGTTGTCAATTGACAAAATGCACTGAAATCTGGCAGTGGTGTGTTTCACTCCTGGAAATGATGGAACTACTGACAATTGCATCGTGCTTGAGTTAGGGAATGTTCTCTCTTGCTTGTGTTTCTTGTTCTACACTCTCTGAAGTTTAAGGACATTATACCAGCATCTGCTCCGTCAACACCCTTCAGTTTTCGTTTCCTCGAAAGGTTTGACGTCCTTCTTCAAATCTCCAACGAGTATAGGCCCAAACTATTCATACTTTCCTCAGAATACCTGCCAGCGTGTGTCGGTATCAGTTTTACTCGGATTACCTCGATGACAAAAGAGAACGGATGTCCTGTGACCCATGCATTTCGCGTTCTGCTGATTACACAAATTTTACTCTCTATCCCTTCGGCTCTTCAATCAGTATCAGCAGCTTTCTGCCTACATTTCAGTTCCTGGAATCTTGCTTTGCACTTAATTAGTGTGGATGTTATTTCGTGCCTTTCAGTTTCTAGCAATAATTGTTTTTCATGGATTTTCTCTGAACTTTATTTGTCAACACGTCAGTTGTATTCACACTGATTATTGTCATTTAAGAATATTTTGAACACAGTACCTTTTGCAAATTTTAATTGTGACAATCTCTTGTGTGTAGATTTTTTTTGTTTTATCACTAATAATGAGTCCCTGATTACAGTGTGAATGATATTGTGTTGTTCAGAATTTCAGGTTGACGAAGGGTTAGTTTTATTTCTCATTATTGGCTGTGTAAAAATGGGAGCGCAGTTATCGATCTGCCATTTCAGCTTCCACGAGGTGAATGATTATTACTCCCTCAGATCTGTCCATCAGTTTCTGCTGACCGAATGTGAGTGTGTAGTAATCAATCTGTACCAATCAGTTCCTCCAGTGATTATGCTTGTGTAATTATCAGTCTATCCCCGAAGCTCTCTTCTGTGTGAATGTGTAATTGTAGTTATCAATCTGTCGCTATCAGGTCTTTGCTATGTACGTGTGTGCGTGTATTTACCAATTTCTGCTGTGAATGAGAGTTTAGTTATCTATATGTTTATGTTCATTTCACAGCCTCTCTCTCAGTTTCTGCATTGGGAATATGGAAATGTATTTATTATCTGTACCTGTCCGTTTCTATCACGTGAAAATGTAATTGTTGTCATTAATGTGTCCCTGTCAGTTAGTACAATTCAAGGTTGTGACTGTAGTTATTAACCTGGCCCTCTTAGTTTCTGTTATGTCCAGATTGATCTGGACCTGTCAATTTCTGCTAGGTGCATATGTGAGTGTCAATACATGCCTGTCAGTTTCTTGTCTGAACATGTGAATGTAGTTATCAAAACTGTACCTGTCAGTTAATTTGCTGTGAAACTGGGTGTGTAATTATCAATTTGCTCTTATCAATTTCTGCATTGTGAATACCAGTGTGCTTACTCATCTTTCTCGGACAGTTATTGTTGTGTGAATGTGTGAGCATATTTACTAATCTGTTCCTGCCAGTTTCTGAAATTTGAACGTGATTTTATTTATCAATCTGTAACAGTCAGTTTTTATTTTAGCACTTTCAGTCTCTACCTGACAGGTTCTGCTATTTCAACATTTGAGTTCAGTTACTGATCTGCAATGCCAGTTTCTGCTCGGTGAATGTTGCAGCACAGTTATTCATTTGTACCTCATACTTTCTGATATCTGTAATTGTAGTTATTAACCTGTTTTTGTTGGAAAGTGCAATGTGAATGAGAATGTAGTTATTTGGCAGTTTCTGTCATGTGAACATCTGAGTGTCATGAATCTATCCATCACTATTACCACAATATTAGTGGTGTGACTAGTTATCAACATGTCCCTGTCAGTTTCTGCTGTGAGAAGATATGACTGTAGTTATCCATCTGGCCTGTCAGTTTCTGCAATGTCAATTTGTATGTTTAGTTATGGATTTATATCTGTCATTTTCTGCTCAGAGTGTGTGTGAGAGAGAGTGTGCACGTGTAGTTATCAATATGTAGCTGTCAGATTTTACACTGTTGATATGCATGCAGTTATTAATCTGCACCTGTCAGTTCATGCTGTGTGACACTGGGAGGGTTATTACCAAGCTGTTCCTGTCAGTTTCTGCTGTATGGACATGTGAAGTTAGTAATCAATGTGTACCTGTGAGAATCTGCTTGTGAAAATTGGAGTGTAGTTATCATACTGCACCTGGCAGTTTTTTTTTAAATCTGTGGATATTTGAATGCAGTTATAAAATTGGACCTGTCAGGTTATGCTGTGAATCTGGGAGGTTATTATCAATCTGTACTTCTGTATTTCTATGATGTGGATATGTCAGGTCCTGTTAGTTTGATATGTGAGCATAGTTATTAATGTGTACATATCCCTTTTTATAATGTGAACTTGTGAATGTTTTTAGCAAACTTTACCTGTTAATTTTGCTATGTCAATATGTGAGTGTCATCATCAATCTGTTTTTGCATGTTTCTGCAATGTGAATGAATGAGCAGAGCTATCAATACATGCTTGTCAGTTTCAATTTGATAACGTGGCTTAACTCTCTGGCAGCCAGTAATATTCTCAGTGAGAATGCGATTTGTTTTGTGGTAGTTGTTATTGGGGTGATTTAATGCAGCTTAGATTCAGTTCCTGAGTGTATATTTGGGATGAGTATTCGGTCCATCCATCTTCAAAACTGGTGTAAATGTCAATGGGCTATGAATGCTGAAACGTGACATTGACTTGCTCACCGAGCTGGCTTGTTTTTGTTCACACGTTGCGTCACCATGCTCGGTGATATCATCAGTGGAACCTTCGATGAAGCGATGTTGTTTTGCTCCACGTGGAATTTATACTGTCTGGTCCATTATGGTGAGTACTGTCATTTCAGTTTTGATCTGTATGGGTTTATATATGGGGTCCAATTCTATATGTTTGTGTGGAGAACCATGCCTCTAGGAATTTCTGTGCGTGTCTATGTTTAGCTTGGGCTACTATGGTTACTTTGTCCAACAAAAACAAAGTTGCTGGAAAAGCTCAGCTGGTCTGGCAGAATCTGTGAAGGAAAAAACAGAGTTAACCTTTCGGGTCCAGTGACCCTTCCTCAGAACCAGTTACTGATGAGCTTTTCCAGCAACTTTGTTTTTGTTCCTGATTTACAGCATCCACAGTTCTTTCAGTTTTTATATGGTTACTTTGTCCCATTTCAACGGATGGCCTTCATTGTCTGAATGTATTGTATATTCAGACAATGAAAGCCATCAGGTCAACTGGGACAAAGTAACTACAGTAGCCCAAGCCAAACATAGACACACATGGGAATTCCGAGAGGCATGGTTTTCCTTCCATATTTCAATCAACAAACATATAGAATCGGACCCCATATATAAACTCATACAGATCAAAACCAGAAATGACAGTACTCATCATAACGGACCAGACGGTATAAATTCCACGTGGAGTAGAACACATCACTTCATCAGAGGCTCCACTGATGATGTCACCAAGCATGGTGATGAAAATGTCTGAACAAAAACAAGCCAGCTCAGTGAGCAAGTCAGCAACATTATCCACTACCCGAGCTGCAGATCTTTGCCAAACCTTAAATGCTGCAATTTGTTCAAACTGGGCAGGTGTGCATTGTGAATGGTGAAAAAAAAAACTTGTATTTCCTCTGTGTTGTTTGAGCATATCTCGCTGGAAATTGACTTCAATGTATGTCTGACTCAATCTGCTCTGTGCCTGTGGGAAGGATGTTCTCTGCTCTGACAGCGGTAAAATACCTTCTGTTTGTTAGAAGCAGCTGGTCACACTTGGCTTTGGACGGAGGGAATATCACTTTCTCTTAGTCCTTCAAGACAGAAGAAAAACCTCCTGTAAATCAACATCAGCCAAGTTTGATAATATTTAATTGATCAATGCAATGTTTAGTTAATAATCATTACAATATTTTATTTCAAGCCAGGAATTTGAACAGAATTGTGTGTCTGATTCCACTCTTGCTCTAAGCTGCTCCCTGTCTGGTGATTTTTCTTTTTGTCAATTCCATACCAATTGAGTGAAGCCCAGAAACTAACCAACAGGTATACAATTCCATGAATGGGGCTACCCAATGCAAGTGGGTCTGTGAATATGAGTTTAGTTGTTGATCTATTCATGTCAGTTCCTACTTGGTGAATGATAACTACACTCCCACAATCTAAGCCTTTGTTAAATTACTTCTGTATTCACACAGCAGAGACTGACAGGGACAGATTGATACAGAGCCATACATCCATTGAAATGATATACCACTGAAGAGGGCTGTTTGGCCTATCTTGTCCATTCCAACCCAAAGACAAACAGATGGCTATTCTAATCCCACCTTCCTGCACACAGCCCACAGCCCCACAGATTAAAGCACTGTCAATTTCTGTAATGTCAATGTATTGGTCAATTTGTCATCTTAGTCTCCGTTTTGTGGATATGTAAATATAGTTATCAATTTGTACCAGCCAACTTTTTCTGGATGAATATTTGAATGTAGTTATCCATCTCTACCTGTGAAAATCCAAATACAATTATTAATATGTACCCGTCAGTCTCTACAATTTCAATGTCCAAGTTTAATTACCAGCCCGTACCTATCAGTTTTGCTCTGTTCATGTGAGAGTGTCAGTATTGATCTGTACCTGTCAGTTTCTGGTTTGTTAATGTGTGAATGCATTTATCAATATGTACCTGTCAGTTTCAGCCAATGTGAATGTGTGAGTGCAGTTATTAATCTGTGCCTGTCAGATTCTGCTATGTGAATTTGACTGTCATTTTAAGTCTCTACCTGTCAGTTTTGTCATGTGAACAAGTGATTGTCAATCAATATGTCCCAGTCAGTTGCTGCAATGAGAAAGTGTGACTGTGGTTATCAATCTACAGTCATCAATCTGTCCATGCCAC